CTTTGGTCCCTTCAGTGTGGCTCTTCCACAAAATACTGGCTCTTCCACAAAATACCGACTTCTGTGCATGGGCCACGAAGTTTCAATCGCACTGTATGTGCACGCCCGCATGTGGTATTTTGTGGAAGAGCCACGCTGAAGGGGCCAAAGAGCCGCATGTGGCTCGCGAGCCATGGTTTGCCGACCACGGGCCTCTGCAGTTGACAGTAACCCTGGGCAACTCTGTATTATTTCCCGAGAGACTGGACTGCAGAGCAGGAGACCATCAGAGACCAACCAGAGCAGAACTCAGCACCAACTAGCCTTTGTCCCTTGGCCTGGCAGAGTGGCCCCGAGCAGAGGGCAGCGAGTTGCCATGCGTCGAATGCTGTCTGCGGGCGGACTCAAGGCGGTGCCTTATCAGGTTTTATCACACGTGTCCCAGCCAGGCAGGGTTTCTTTCCTCAGTCAACTGATGGGAAACAGAGACGGGAGGTGACTTGGCTGGGCCTGCGCTGCTCAGGCAGGATGCTGTGGGGAAAAGGTTAGCGTCTGGGTCATCTGGGATCCCTGGGGCCCCCAGTGCTGCAAAGGTGGGCTGGAGGCCACTTCGCTGCTGTAGCCCAGCCTGGTATGAGTGCCGATTTTCCAGGTAGGCTGCTGGAGCCAGGCTTCTGGCCAGGACAGCTGGTGACATCTTGCCGGGCTCCCAGGAGCACACGCTGACCCTGGGAACTTTCCCACCCTGTGTTTCTTACGCGCTTGCCCTTCTTTCATTCTGTGCTTTGTCGGTTTCAGTTCTCATTTCCAGGGTGGCCTCTGCCAGGGGGTGACTCCACGTTTCTCCAGCAGCCTGCAGTTTGGCTGTCCCCATGTCATCCCCAGACACGGGGCCAAATGGCCCAGCGTGCGCAGAGGGAAATGTCTCGTCCTCATTTCCCACCGAGTTCCAAAGGCAGCAGCTGCATCCACAGGGCCCGAGGCCGTGGAGCCAGAGCCTGTCACTGTCACCACACTAATGAGTGTTTCCACTCCATGGGCCTGCGGGTGTGAGGAGGGGCTGTCGGCTGAGGCTGGTGTGGGGACAGCACCCACGGGACCCAGCTGGGTCACTCGCCGGTAAGGCTAATATAGTCCCCAGGGCCTTGGGGCTGCTGATCAAGGGGAAGCTTGGGGATTCCTGGGCCGTGTTGAGACCCAAGGACTAGGGTTCAAATCCTAGCTCAACCACTTCCTAGTCCAGTGATGGCGAACCTATGACACACATGTCAGAGGTGACATGCATGTCAGAGGTGACACGCGAACTCATTTTTTTAAATTGATTTTTCTTTGTTAAATGGCATTTAAATATATAAAATAAATATCAAAGATATAAATCTTTGTTTTACTATGGTTGCAAATATCAAAAAATTTCTATCTGTGACAGGGCACCAGAATTAAGTTAGGGTTTTTCAAAATGCTGACACGCCGAGCTCAAAAGGTTCGCCATCACTGTCCTAGTTCGTGAACATTTGGCAAGTTCATCAACCTCTTTGCCTCGGTTTCCTCATCTGTGAAGTGCGAATAGTGATAGCATCAAACGGCGGGGGGGGGGGGGGGCGCTGCGAGGATTAAATGAGTTAACCCAGGTAAAGCGTTTAGCTGGGGCTCAAGAAACATCATCAGCTTTTTTATGGGCCTCTGCCAAGCCCTCCGTTCCCGATCTCCCTCCCACTCATCACCTGTGCCTCGCAGGTGCCATTCAAGGCCATGGTTCCCCATTGCCGTCGTGACTTCCCTAAGATACTGTGTGAGGTGCTAGGTGAGTACTTGAATTATCGGGAGGGAACACATTGCAAAGTATATGGTTGTCTAGCCACTACGCTGTACACCTGACACTGAAACCAAATAATATTGAATGTCAACTGTAATTGAATAAAAAAAGTTCTCACAGTGGCTCGGTGTAGTCCGCAGTCTTTGGGGGTGGGGCTGAGGTTCTAATGCCTGCTCGGGCCGGGGATGAGCCTCCCGTCCAGGGCCGGAGTCCCGAGGCTCTCTGAGTAGGTCAAAGGGCAACTGGAAAATCTGCTTCCACCAGCTCAGCCAAAGGAGTAACACACTGGCCACCCACCTGGGCTGCAGGGGCAGAGTTTGACCTGTGACAGTGCAGAGCTGGTCTGTGCCTCCTGAGAGTGCCGGGGAAGTGGTCCCATTGCCAGCCTGTGGCCAGCACCCGAAGCAAAGACATTAGCCACCATCCAGGAGGCTGGTCACTCCTGCCACTCAGGGCACAGGGTACCGCTGTGGAAAGCAGGTCTCCACTGAACAGCCCAGAAGGCAGACAGAGAAACCAGGGAGCATCCATGTCAGTGTTTTCCATGAGATCCTGGCTGTGCTTTAAAAAAAAATACTGATGTCCTTGATCAGTTTCCAGAGGTATTGCTTCAACGTGTCCCCATTGTGGCCTGGGCACTGGGCTCTTCGATGAAGTTTCTCAGGGTTGAGAGCTACAAAATATAAATGAGGCAATTCAGGTAGTTTATTAGCAGGGTAATGTGATGTGGAGCAGAGCGTGATTAGCTGGGGGTGACCTGGGACCGACTCCCAGGGGTGACATTCAGTCTGAGACCTGAAAGATGAGGAGATGGGGAAGGAGCTTTCCATGCACAGGGAACAGCCAGTGCAAAGGCCCTGGGCCTGGAATGAGTCTGGAAAGTTCTAGGAGCAGCAGAAAGATCTGTGTGGCTAGAATGTAGTGAGCTAGAGGGCTCAAGACCTTGTAAAATCAAGTAAGATGCTTGGAATTATCTCCCAAGGACACAGGAAAGTTAAGCCGGGCAATTGCATTGAGCAGAATCTGGAAAACTCCCAGCGCATGCATTTCATTTGCTCCCTAGAACTGATCTCTCCGCCTACCCCTACCCAGCTTCTACCCTGTCCTTTATTTGCATTTTCGCCATAACTCTGTGAGGGAAGTAAGGAGGTATTTCTCCATTTTGCAATTGAGAAGTGGCTCGTCCATGTCACCCGGGCTCTTGAGTGGCAGGCTCTGTGTCATCTGGTACCCCTCCCAGCGCTCTTGCCCAGAGATGCTCACGAGGACAAGAAGCAGCCACCGTGGTTATTACAGCGAGTGACATTCTCGCCAACCCTGGACGTTGAAATGGAAAAGCACAACCTTGGCTTCCCTTGAGCACAGCGGCTTAGCCCAGTTGTCTTCTTTGCAACATCCCACTTCCATTAAGCGCTAGTTATTCTGATGAGCCGGTCATCCCTTCAGACCCTGTCCGGCAGCTCCATTGTGGCAAACTCGTTTTAGAAATGAAGCTCTCTGTGCACTCAACTGAAGGGGTGTTTGGCAGAACCAACCCCTTGCCTCGGCTCCCCTTGGTGTTTGGCACTGGCGTCTGGGCCTGCCCTGCTTGCGTCTGAGTTGGCCACGGGGCAGATTCCACACCGCTTGGCTGTCATCCCTCATGTTCTACGTTGTTGCCAGGATTGGCTGCTCACAGCTGCTGCTGGGTCAGTTTCGGAGAAGCCTTTTCAATATTGGAGCGTGTGGTCACTGCTGGAGCATTTGGGTCTTTCTTGACGGTTCTTAGAACCTCTTGGGAGCCCCAGTTCCCACCCTGTTTCTAGGGGAGGTGGGAGCACCGAGGGAGTGCTGGGGAAGACAGCAAAACGCCACCAGGGACCTTTGGTGTCCTTGTGGGTCGGAGCTATTCATTTTGGTTAAACACAACTGGAGCAATTCTAGACAAGCTGGATGATGGGGGGCTGGATGGCTCCATTCACACTGCATGTGGGAACGGCCCCACCACCTGGACTACAAGAAGTGAAACTCCTACCCTCCCCATGAAGCCCGCAGGCAAAATACATCGCTTCTGGGCAGTAGCCATGGAAACCTCCCATTGTCCACATGGCCTGCCATTAGAACCAAGCCCCTAGTTTTTTAGCTTCCTGGAGCCAGGATGGCAGAGAGCGCTCCCCACCCTCCTCCCTCCTTACCATCTCCCTGCATGCCCCAGGTCAGAGCTCGGGTACCCAAGAGGAGCTGCAATTCTCTGGGAATACCCTGCTCTTGTGGATGCCGAGGGGACAAGCCCGGGAGAGGGAAAGCGGAAATAAAGGATGGAGGTGGGAATGATGATGACATCAGCAGCGTTGGTGAGAGAGAGGAGGGCGGGGCAGGCTGCCGTGGCATTCAGGAAGCCATGGAGGGCATTCAGGAGGCAGCACATGCGTCTGAGTTCCATCTTCCCATCTGAGCGGCACCGTTCATTCCTGTTCCTGCTCCGTCCGTTCTGCAAGGGGAGCCTTCAAAAGCATGAAGACATTTATCAAACAGCAACCCGAGGTTGGTCGCACCGCCATCTGCACAGACAGTCCCCTACCCTGTGACACAGCAACGGGAATGATTTAGGAGGTCCCCCAGCTCCACCCCTGAGCCTGGTGAAACCTGAGTGGCTTCAGTCCTCACCCAGTGCGAGTGAGAATTGGCCTGTGTTGATGGGCACAAGAACTGGGGTTCACGCTGAGGTGCACCTGACTGTGAAGTGATGCCCAGGACTGTGCTTAGGGTTAGTTTTCTGTATACAGTGACCCAACCACAAGGACTAACAGAGAAACCCTGGAGTTGGGGATAGGATGCAAATTCTGGGTGCAAATTCTGCCGGTGAGCTATGTGGCTTCCATGTCATGTTTTGCCTTAGTTTTATGACCTATACCAGGGGTCCTCAAACTTTTTAAACAGGGGGCCAGTTCACTCTCCCTCAGATCATTGGAGGGCCAGACTATAGTTTAAAAAAAACTATGAACAAATTCCAGTGCACACAGCGGCGGCAAAAACACCCAGCGGGCCGGATAAATGTTTTCGGAGGGCCACATGTGGCCCGCGGGCTGTAGTTTGAGGACCCCTGACCTATACAATGGGGATAATGATTTCTGCATCTCCCCAACTCACGATTATTTTGAAGGTTCTTGTGACACAATAGATGCAAAACAACTTCATTAATTATACAGCCCTCACCAGGCATCAAAGGTTTAATCCAACAAACATTTATTGAGCAACTGCTGTGTGCTATGCACCACTCCTGGTGCCGTGATGGACACATGAATAAAACACAGGCCCTGCCCTCGGCGAGCTTACAGTCTAGAAACGGTCAAAGGACAAGTGCACAGGAACTATAGTACAAGGCAGACTATGGTCAGTGCCATGAGAAAGGTACAAATAAAGTGCTACGGTGGTTCAGCGGCGGGAGCGACCCCAGCGGTTGGTAGATCGGGGAGGGCTTCATGGAAGACGTGGTTTCTGCATGGTCCTTGAAGGAAACAGAAGAGAGCGTTCCAGGAGGCGCGGACATTCCAGGAGATGAGAACGGCAAGTCCGAAGGCACAGAGACAGGAAAGCCGGGCACCCCTTCCAGGAATGACAATGGGTGCCGGATGCAAAGGAAGACGGGCCTCGTTGGGCGATCTGTAATGTCAGCATGAAGACTTGTACGTCACTTTTAAAAGCGTGTGTGTGGCTGGAGATAAAGATCGCTGTGCATGTTGAGGACGCACTGGAGAAGGTGCACGCGTGCCCAGGAGCCCTCGGAGGGGAGGCTGCTGCTGAAACTGCCCACGCGACCCGGAGGCCAGGGCAGTGCTGGTGGGAAGGAGCGGCAAGGATGGGGAGGAGTCGAAGATGCTTCTAGTGTCTCCGAACTGGGTGGTTGAGAGGCTCGCGGGTCTTCGAACTGAAAAAGGAGGGGCCGTGGAGGAAAGGGAGGCAGAGATAACCAACCTGGCTTCCTGTGTTGCGTTCATGGCGCTGCCAGAGCAGACAGGGTGAATGTCCAACAGGAATGTGCAGTCCAGGCCTGGGACCCGGGAGGGGCTGGGCTGCAGGGACGTGCGGAGGGCGGACCCACAGGGGGGCGCAGGTTGCTGATGGAGGTGCAGGGAGGTAAGGAGAGGGGGGACGTCTATGTTGCGGGCAAGGAGGAGAGAGGGGAATCATGGTCAGGTCCACCTCAGCTCCTTTTTCGGTTAAGGGCGTCAATAAATAAATCATAAATACATAAATAAATAAATACATAAATAAGGGCCAGAGCGGCATTGGGAAGGGAGGAGAAAAACCACAGGAACGCGTGGTCCCAGAAATTAGAGGAAAGGGAGTGTCCAGGAGGGGTCCCTGGAGGGCTGGTGGCAAGAAAGGGCCTTTCGATGGGCATCGTGGGTGGTGCCAGGGGCATGGAGGCCGAGGGGGTGTCGGGAGGAAAGGCAGTGTAAGCCTGGAGGCCCCTTCCCAGGCGGGGGGTGAAGGGAAGGTGAGGGAAGAGGCCATGGGAGCCAGGATGGGTAGAATGAGCATGTGTTGGTGGGCAGAGAGGATGGAGGCCACAGAGGAGTGGCTAGGGTATCAGGGAGCGTGTCATGGGGGACCTCACTCCAGCGGCTCCATTTCTTTAGCGAAGGAGGAGGCAGACAAGGGGGGTCATTCGGGGAACTTGAGGGAAATGGAGGTCTGCGGGGCTTCAGGGTGGATTGCCTGGGGGTCCACAGGAGCTGACTGAAGGGGTCCGGGTGGCTGTGTCCACTGCCATCACAAGACAGTAGATCGGGGGACAGGCCAGGACTCCTGCTAGCTGCTTATGCTGGAGGCTTCAGTGGAATCTCGCGCAAGCTGAGCTCTAAAGGGACAGGGGAGGGAGGGCTGCCCCTGACAGTGAGTGCCCAGATGCAGGACGAGGAGAGGAGGATGGGCACATGTGAGTGGTCCTGGGCCCGCAGCCTTTCTCTGGAGGGAGCCCGAGGCAGGTTGTAAGGGCATTTCCACTTCAACTTGCATCATGTCAGCTTCAGGAACCAGGAAGGGACAGGAAGAAAACCAGGCTTTTCTAAGTGCTCGGGCCCCTACACTCCCCAGGGAGGGGTGCTGGCGGGTGGACGGAGCTCAGAGCCAGCTCCAGGACCTGACATCACGGCTCTCCACTGAAATGTTCTAGAACCCAAGACCTTGGCTCACCCACGCAGGCCCTGCTGGCAGTCCTGCCCATTCCCCACGGCTCTGCAAGCTTCAGAAGTTAAGCTTCTCCCAGGGCCTCGAAGAGCCTCCCGATAAAAGGCCTTGCAGAAGTGTGAAGTCCGATGCTAATTATCTCCACTTCTCCTGACGAGTCCACACCGCTCACTGCCCACCGAGGCTGCTAGGGCTGGTGCGTCCTGACATATCCACTTCATAACGCAAAGCCCAAGTCTCGGCTTCGCGCACCCACAAGAACAACAAGGAAAGGAATGCAGAGTCGTAGAATCACAGTTGCGGCTTAGAGGTGGAGCGTGCGGCGTAGGGGGTTAATGGATAGGACTGTCCTCCCCTGGCTTCCTGTCAGCCATTAATTAGAAGCAAGTGGCCTGTTCCGAACTGCCATTGATGCATCATGTCCGCGCTCCTGTGCTGGGGAGCAGGTCTTGATTACTTTCCTCAACTCCCTTCACCTTCCAGATAATGGTTTTTGACTCATCTTTCAAATTCGTTGTAAAAGACGCATTTATCAGACAAGAAAACACATCTAACAAACCAAGCCGGCGAACGCTGGTCTCTACGTGACCTGTGGTTCCAGCCCCAAGTCACAGGCACCGAGCCCAGGTTTCCCCCAGGGAGTTTATGTCCAGTATTTAGAGACTGCATGTGCTTTGGGTTTTTTTTGGTGTGTGTTTTTTAAGTCTTAACTCTTTATCTTAACAAAGGGAAAATGGATTTTGCAAAATTCTACAATCATTGCCTCTGGGGCGAAAGGGAGTGGAGGTGGCCCCATTCCCCGCAGAGGAGAAAACCTCAGTGTTGGCGCTCAGTGCCGGCCGGTGTGACCATCAGGATGGGAGAGGGACCAGAAGTGACACTGACAGCGCCGTCTGCCAGAGAGGCCCCTGGTGTGCCCGAGCAGGAGGCAAACAGAGAGAGTGTCTGCAGAGAAACGGATTATGCCGAATACTACACATTCTTCCAGGTCTCCCAGTCGGGGGCGCTGGAGGCACCCAGAAAGGCAACCACGTATTTTAAAAAGGCTGGCATTTGTCTTTGCGGGGCCTTTTCGAGCTCTCGCGGGAGCTTCCCCGGAGGCGGGAGGGGACAGTACAGTCCCTCATGTGACATTCTAACAGGCCGGGCAGGAGGCTAACTCTGGGGATGACATCCCTGGTCCCTTCCTCCTGGGTGGACTCAAGGTGCTTTAGAGAACACCCACTACAGCAATATTTCGGACCCTCTCCTGTCTGTTCCGGGGTGGGAATGCCGACCCTTAGCGGCAGGTTGCAATTTTTCAAAAGCACAATTTGTCACACTCTTCACTGTCGTCTGCCTGCTCCGTCCCAGGTTTGTGGTGGTTCGTGCTAAGCCAGAGCATAAACTGTCCGCCGTGTCTTCTCCCGCCTTCTCTCCATACCTGCGGTTCATCCCTCGAGCACTGAAACTCTGCGTTCGCGGGAAGGCCTTCAGCTGGGACGTGGCCCCTGCTTCTCGGCGTCCGTGTGCTCCTTCGCCCAGCTGATCGCTCCGACCTCCCTCTCCCCCGTGAACAGCACCGTTTAGACTTGGGTCACATTGTCCCCTCTGGGTCTTGGCTCACCCAGAACCCACATGTCTCAGAGGCTCCAGGCAGTTCCACTCATCCATGAGCCCAAAGATCCCTCCAACCCGGGAGGCAGTTTGTCATCCAAAGTCATGGGACTGGCTTCTTTCCACGTCGAATCCTTTCGCCCCCAAAGATGGACCGGGTCTCCATTCTGGTGGGTTCTCCATACCTTCTTCTTGTGGCTTATCTGCCTAATGCTAGATGAACACCACACAGTTATAAATACTCAGGTCAATATATATATGCAGGTATAGATATATATATTCTGGTCACTGTTTTACACTTTAACAAAGAAAACCACTAGCCTGCTTGTTCTAGAGTTTGTGCCACCCCGACTCCCATCTGCCCGTGGTGTAGCTGGCAGGAAATGTGAGCCACTGAGTCCGCCGGGTGCCTGCTTACGTAGCTCCGTCGCACTGGCCGACAGTCAGTTTCAAAGCACCCTGCTCGTGCAGGCTCTTGAGGGCCTTGAACTCCAAGGGCATGGTGTGGGGGCTGGCCTGGGAGGTGTAGCCGTACTTGAGGCTGTCGTAGTAGTGGTACTTGACGGGGTTCTGGTTCTGATCCAGCGGGAAGGGCCAGAAGCCGTAGAGGTAGATCTGGTTGCAGAAGCGCGTGGCCAGGGTGTACATCAGGAGGCCGGTGGTGGGTCTTTTGATGTGCACCTTGTTGGTCAGCCAGTATCTGAAACAAGGGAGGAAAGAAACAAAAAAGGAGACCCGAGTTTAGGAATGATTCTTTCTATGAAGAGGACCACCGGGGAGGCCAGAGCAATTTGCCTGGGAAGAGTCAAGCTCATGCAGCCAGTTTCATAGAGCTCAGATGACAGGCAGCTTCTCCCTGCCTGCTTGCTGGGTCTCTCTCACCCTGTGGTAGCTCTGGGAGAGTCGGGGCTGGGAGTGAGCTAGCTGCAGCTGCTGTAGTCATCACCCACGGACCTGCAAGCCACCCGCAATGTCCCCGCGTGAGTGCGTCTCCGTGGCTGTTCATTTCCTGAGCCAATTCAAGCCCTAACGGTGGCCACGTGCCATATTAGGGATTTGTGGTTTGTTTATCTTGTGATAGTGAGGCCTTAGCAGGGGCCAGCTTTTGGAATGGATTTCCTTGCAGGCTATTGTGGTAGTCGGGAGGGAGAGAGGGAGGGAGAATTTAATCAGTGGCAAAACACCCAAGGAGCTGACAGGTGGGTCCGAGGTTACACAGACATTCAATGCGCCCTCCTCGTAGCTGTGCCTTTCCCTCACGTGTCCCCTCAGTGAACTCTCTCTTTTTTTCTCCCCAAACTAAATACATGCATCCCATCTTCCTGGGAATGTTCCCTTTGTTCTACCCGCTTCTCTCCAGCTCAAACTGACTTAATCACTTCCACATCATTATCTCGAGCTTTGTTTCTGCTTTCCCCAATGTGCTTATCAACCCGAACTGACAATCCGTTACTGCGCGGGTTGGTCTCCCTCACCAAACTCTACTGTGATCTCTCTGAGAGCAGGGGCCATGCCTGACGCCTCTGTGTTGGGGGTTCAAGGGCTTCTGGCTCAGTGTCTGGTGCAGCCAAGGCTCTATGGCAGAGAGAGCAGCGCTCAGCAAATACTCCATATGTCCCCTACATCTCCCAGAATCCCTTGTCATTGGGCCGGGGTCATGTGACCAGTTATGGCCAATAGGCTGTGACCACAAATGTGTCCCTTCTGGGCCGATGTTGATCAAAAGCAGGTCCTCTGCTTTCTCTCCTCCTGCATCAGAGGACTTCAGAGCCTCCTGTAAAGATGGTGTAAGCTTAAGATGGACGAATCCTGGATCCCTGAATCACTGGTTGGAAGAGAGCCCCAGCCAACATATGGTACTTTGCAAGAATGAGAAATTAACTTCTGCCGTGCTAAACCATGCGAGTTCTATGGTTAGCTATCACAGCATAGCCAAACTGGTGATCCTGGCTTCTATTGTGCTCAGCAAACGTTCTATTTTTCAATGGAACTGAGAAACAGGAAGAAGTCGGAAAGGAGAAAAGAGGAAGCGAGCAGTGCACGCAGCTTTGTAGCTGTGGCCAGCTGAGAAAGGAATAGAAACGCCCAGCCGTTCGTCCCTGGCGCCAGGCTTTCCACCCAGAATCACTCACTGGGAAAGGTGTTAGCAGCAAATGAGGCTGCGGGGTGAAGTGCGAACTCAGTGGCCTGGAGGGACCCACTTATTTCCTGTTCTGCCTCCACAGCTAAACAAGAACTCCTGAGATGTGTGACAGGGACATGGGGCACCTTCTAACGAGCAGCTTGTAATAGAGGCCGGCTGAGTTCTGCAGGGACAGAACACTCTCTACTTCCTTCATGTCTCCTCAGTCTTTCCGGCCAATTTAGCGACTGTGTGCGTGGCCAACTCATAGATGGTTTCTTTCCTTAGGATAACAGCTGGGCGTGAAAACACGAACTAATTAATTTTGCCTGCCCAAATGAGGTTAGCTGGGTGCATCTGGGACATCATATTGACAGTGCACCTTTAATATCCCCGGCTTGAGATTTTAATTAGAAGGCAAAGTCATCTCTAAGAAGGCAATAATTATTTTTCAAATTGGTTACCCCAACTGCTAAGACGATTAAGCACTGTATTTTATGAGCATGGACACCAATAAATAAGGATTGCCACAATCATATCGAAAGCACATTCAGCCTTTTCCCTGGATGCCTGGGCTTGGTACGTGGCAAGAGCGGTGGCTGCCAGTGTTGGAAAAAGAGACCAAAAGGGCTTTCTCCAGGAAGCTCAAAGCAATTTGTGGGCTAGAGCTCATCTCATCCATACGGGGCAGGAATGCCTCCCCGGTGACTGGCAAGGGCCACTTGGTGATATTTGGTGCAAGATCAGCAGCAAAGCCAGGAACATTGGAGCTGAGACCAGGAGAAGGGTTGCAGGTCAGGAGACATGGGAGGTGATGGTGACGAAACCAAGAAGGTCCCCTCTTGAGCTCTGGTCTCGCACCATCCACATCATCAGCCTTGGCCCCGATTTGGGGCCCCACAGCCCATTGCTGTCCTTCCCTGGGAAACACTGGTTAAGCCTCTACTGTAAGGGAGACACATCTGCACAAGGCTGCCCAGTGGTAATGGTGAGCTGGGATGTTGTCTCAGAATTTGGGGCTGGAGTGCAGAGCGGGTCAAGCCTGGGGATGCTCGAAGCTGATTCCTAGTCCCTGTACTTCCATGTTTATCCAAATAAGTCAGCTAACCTCAAGTCTGACCAGGCCACCGAAAACCTTCCGAAGAATCCACAGGATGGCATCCAAAGGCCTCAGCCAGGATCACGAAGCCCTTGAGATCCGGGCCAGAAATCCCTGCCACCCCCTGGGAGGCACAGTCACACGCCACGGGGACCTTCTTGGCTTCTTCAGCATCACCTCCCGTGTCTCCTGACCTGCAGCCCTTCTCCTGGTCTCAGCTTCAATGTCACTTCCTGCAGGAAGCCTTCCCGGACCTCCCTGGAGGGTTTTGTGTTCCATAAGCTGTTCTTTCCCTGTTGCAGCACGCATCATGCGACGCTGTAACTACTGGTTGCTTGTCTTTCTCCTCCCTTACACTTAAAAATTCTGGGAGCAAGTGGGTTAGCTTCTCCATAACCCCAGATCCTCACATAGCACATGCACAAGTCTTCATGAAGCAATGCATGAAAATGAACAAGCAAGGCCGGTGGCTCCCTTTGAGGGCACTGGCAGGGGAGGGGAGGGAGATCACAGTAGCTTTGTGTGGGAGACCAACCCACACAGCACTGGCCTCACCCTAACCTCTCCTGGGCAGCCACCAGGTCTACGCATGTGAAAGGCAGGCTGACAGCAGTCCAGAGAGCATGTTGCCAAAAGGAAAAAGAAAACCATCATGCTGGTTATTTTGAGGGGTTCCTCCTGCTTCAGGGTGAGCCCCCCAGGGTGTCGAGATGCTGCTGCTCACACACAGACCCAGCAGGGACCCAACCAGACCATTGCTTGGCGGGGCGGGGGGCGGTTAAACCTTCTGGCTGGATTCTGGAATTTAAACTAATGCCACTCCCAACTGAAAAATGATATTCAACCTCATTTATAATTAAAGGAACGTTTGCAAGGTTATGGGAGAGCAGGTATTTTTAATCATAGGTGGGAGAGTAACTTGGAAATATCTATAAAAATTAACAATGCCTATATCTGTGTCTCTCTCTTTAGCAATGACACTTCTAAAAAGCAAGCCTATACACATAGATATATGTGCAGATGTCAGTAAAAGATGGTCACTGTAGTACTGGTTATATCCGCAAAAGATGGAAACACCCACTTATGTCCACGCACCTCCCAATCCCCTCACACATGGTCTCTGCTTATGTAAACTATGAGCCTGACTCAGTGGAAGGCCAGGAAGCTGTGAAGGAAAAGAAGGCAGTACCTGTCAATCTATAATAATAAAAATGTAATATGCTAATTAAACTGGACGTCCTTCTGGACAACCTTCTGACCTTCCGGACGAAGCTGGGGCTGCTAGGGAAGCCGGTGCCGACAGGTGGGGGAAGGAAGGCCTACTCTTGCACGAATTTCATGCATCGGGCCTCTAGTATAAAATAATTTCCAGAATTTAGCAAGATGTGGTGCTTAAAACATGCTCCCTTGTGTGTAAAAGACGATTTTTCTGGAAAGAGACACAGAAAACCAGTTTAATTAACAAGGCTGCCTCTGTGAAGGCGGGCTCGCTTTTCACTTTAAATCCTCTTATACTATTTGGGATTTTCTTTTTATTATGTGCGTTCCTATTTTAAAAAAAATAATAGAGACAGTCCATTAAAAATGACCCAACGCTGGCAGCCACCTGTGCCACAATATCACAGACTCCCTCCTTCTCTTCTCCATGGAACACACTTCCACACTCGTGTCCCTGCAGGAGACTTGGACCCAGTGCCCACGACTTAGTACTGCAATGGTCATGTCCTGGGGGACCAACTCCGACCCTCGCTGGTCTCCCCAATTCTCTGCACCATGCTTAGCCCCTCACCGCTGGGCCTGCAGGCTGGGCCTCAGTCTCTGCTCCCCACAGAGGGGCAGCAGGGCCAGCTTTGCCGACACGCTGCTCCAGGCCTGGCAGGGATGCCCGCTGGATCAGTGCCAGCCCGGGGCCTCGGCTCAGCACTCCTGGTGCCTAATTAGGCACCATTTCACAGGCCTCCTCTGCACCAGGACTGTGGCTGGGCGGCTGAATGGGCCTGCTTTCTTGCCCATGGGCCCCCCTCTCTGCGGCTCACAGCCTTCCCCGTTGTTGTAATTGAATTAGAGCCACGCGCTAGCAGCTGCTGACCAGTTTCCCACCTCCCAAGGCCACACTCAGTTGCCTGGTGTCCTCCCCCTCGGTTGCTCACCTCCCTTGCCAACAGCCGGCCAGCGAGGCGCTGTGCCACCGTCCAGGCCGGCAGAGCCAGAAGTCCTTTGGAAGAGCTGCTCGGGCTGGGGCAGGGGCTGGTAAGAGTCGAAGGGCAGGCCTTCTGCTCAGGTCTCTGTGCCATGCTGTCCACCCCCTGCAATGCCCGGGCCCAAGAACTGTCTCAGATGGGCCAGCATCTTGAGAGCACCCGGTGGTTAGAGACTCTCCTAGCACAGGTTCACTGCATCAAAGAGTCTGAGTGGGAAAGGGGGCGAGCTAGCCCTAAGGTCCATTATGTTGAAGCCATAACCTCTAGTACCTCATAGTGCAGTGATGGCGAACCTATGACACGCGTGTCAGAGGTGACACACGAACTCATTTTTTTGGTTGATTTTCCTTTGTTAAATGGCATTTAAATATATCAAATAAATATCAAAAATATAAATCTTTGTTTTACTATGGTTGCAAATATAAAAAAATTTCTATATGTGACACGGCACCAGAATTAAGTTAGGGTTTTTCAAAATGCTGACACGCCGAGCTCAAAAGGTTCGCCATCACTGTCATAATGTCACCTTATTTGGAGATAAGGGGTCCTTACAGAGGTGATCAAGTTAAAATGAGGTCATTAAAGGTGGCCCCTAATCCAATATGACTGACATCCTTAAAACCAGGGGACGTTTGGAGAACACACGCACACAGGGAAGATGCCATGTGAACATGAAGAGTGGCCACCAACGAGCCGTAGAGGGAGGCCTGGGAAGATTCTTCCCTCAGAGCCCCCTGGAGGAACCAGCCCTGCCGACACCTCGATTTCGGCCTTCTAGCCTCCAGAACTGTTGTGTAGGCCACCCGGCCTGTGGTGCTTTGTCACAGCAGCCCGAGCAAACTCATACAGCAATTCTGCGTGGCGTGGATTTCCGGCTCCAGGGCCCATAAGGGGAATCCGCTGCTGACTTCATTGAACGTCCCCAAAGAGACTGAATCCACTGCCCCCTGGGAGCCAGCCACGCTCATTGCAGATCACCTTGACTTGTTGGAAGGCTCTTCCCTATGCCCAGATGACACTGACTCCCTGTAGATCCTCTCCCCGCCCTAGTTTTACCCCTGGAGCCTCTCAGGCCAAATCGGCGAGCCCTTCAAGGGCAGATGCCTTGTTTTATTGACTTTCACACGAGCCTGGAGCCCGCTAGGTGCCTGTAAGTATTCACTGAATGAAGAAAGGTTGCTTTCATGTTCCTCAGAGCATCCTTCTCTCCCCAAACCTTTCAACTTCCGAATTTCTCTGCTTCTGTGGTCCCTCTCCAGCCGGGTACCCAACACAGAATGTAATTCTCTGAGTGGGATTTGACCCGGGAGAGTAAAAAAAAAAGGCCATGACCACCCTCCCCGACTCTCAGAGACATCCTATGTCCGTGGCTGCAACCCAAGATCATAGATTCTTTTGAGCGACCACTCACCCGCTGGTGATTGGCACTGTTCATCTCTCCGTACAGTTGTTTAGAATGCTGCATTTGTCCCTGTTACATTTCTGCCTCTTAGATTAGCTCATTGTGTCAGCCTGTCAAAAATAATTGCGATGCAACCCTGAAGCTCTATTGGACCCTGCACCCCACAATGCCCCATGGCCCCACAGAGGGAGAAGGCCATTGGCAGAAACCCATTCCAAGGCCCTCAAGCCCCCTCCCCACTCCCTCCCCACTCCCCCAAATCAGAGACCCACCCCACCTGCCTCTCCTGCAGTGTTTCCTCTGGGAGTCCCTGCGAAGGAAGACGTTGGATCTAAGGATTAACACTTATTACTGGTGCTTAATGCTGTTTTGACAGATGAAAATGAGTCGGTTATAGCTGGAAATAGCTCTCGTTGCATATGTTTCTTCCAGTTGATTGCCCATTCCCCACCACGGGACCTTTTCTCTCTTTACCGAAAGTCAGTCCTTTTCTTTCTCTCACCGCCCTGACCCCCAAGCCATGTCACTTTCCTCCTTCTGGGAAGAAACAAGATTTAAAGAATGGATCCTAAACCCATGAGGTGGGGGTTACCGCGGCAGCCCCACTCTGTGCCAGGGATGAAGTGAAGGGTGCTGAAGGGACTCCTGACAGGTCAACCTCCAGGATGAGGGAGGTGGCCCCTGTTTGGCCTGTATCTGTACCAGTGTCATCTGCTCCATCAGCTACGAGTGCGGCTGCCTTTGGTTGCCTGCCTCTCTCGGTCTTTCTTGGTGGCAGTGGACTTCTGTGTGTACACCCACCCTAGAGAGTCCAGTGCTGGTCACAGGCTTGGGTGTCACCTCTAAGAGGCCCAGAGTCCTTTGTGGGTGGCTCAGGGGGCTTCCCAGAGTCACACAGCGTTATGCTAAGGTTTATTGGTCGGGGGGTGGGGAGGGTTGGGGGGAGGCTGAACGATGGCCTTTCTTGTGTCCCTGGAACAGGGTTGTGAGCTGCCTTGTGGTTGGATGGGCAATTAGATGCAGGGCCTGGCCCCACGCTGGGAGGTCAGGAGTGGGGGGGGGATACATTTGTAACAGGCATCTCACAATATGCCCAAGAAAGCACCCCCTTCCTCAACACCCCCAAACAAGCATGGGCTTCCCTCAGGCTTTCCTGTTACAGAGAATGGCACCCCCATCCCCCCATTTGCTCACGCTCTGATCCTAACGGTCATCCTGATGTTTTCTTTCTCTCACCCCATGAGGTCCTGAAAGAGAATGCATCAGCCAGTCCTGCTGCCTCTACTCCAAAATTTATGGCAAATCTGTTGCATATCTACCACCATTGTCCTTGTCTAAGTCAAATGTATTTCCTGCCTGAACTATTGAGTCAGCTTCCCATCTAATATTCCTGCTGCCATTCTTGCCCCCTTACAGTTTATTCTCAGCATCGCTATCTAGGAGGGCACTGCCAATTGGTCAAAAACCCACTTGCCAACCCCCCCATTGCCCAGGAGGGGAGGCTCAGGAAGGTCAGGTGACTTGTGGGGGTCATACAGGTAGTGAGTGATCAGCTGAGATGGAAATTTTTAATTTTTTTAAATCCTTGATATTTTTTTCATTGATTTTAGAGAGAGTGGAAGGGAGAGGGAGAGACAGAGAGAAACTTTGATGTGAGAGCAACACATTGATTGGTTGCCTCCCGCAGGCTTCTGGACCAGGGCTAGGGATCGAGCCTGCAACCAAGGTACATACCCTTGACCGGAATCGAACCCAGGACTCTTCAGTCCGCAGGCTGATGCTCTATCCACTGAGCAAAACTGTCTAGGGCTGAGATGGAAATGAATCTAGGAAAGCAGTATTGCCTACCAAGTACCTCCCCCACCCAGCGACAGCCCCCTTCCCCGGGGAGAGGCCGCTCACCCGCGGACGGCGTGCAGCAGGCGCAGAGACGGGTAGGCAGTCCGCACGTTGACGCGGTGCTTCAGGATGAGCTCGTTGACCCACTCCACACGCTCCTTGCCGCCCCTGGCCATGAAGGCGGGGATCCACAGGATGCTGCCGTTGAGGCTGTGCAGCCGCTGGAGCAGCTTCTCCCGCCACGTGGCGTTGACCAGGTCCTCGAAGGCACGCTGGATGACCGAAGGGTTCATGGTCACCAGGTCTGTCTTGAGCCCCACGTCCCGGGCGTACTCCTGCACCGGCGCCAGGTTGCACCTGCCAGAGAGAAGGACAGGGTGGTTCTTTTGGGAACGCCGAGACACCTCTGCTTACATCTAACCTGATCCATCCTTTACTTCTCATCCCAAAACCACCCTCCTGAACTCGCCGGGGGCTCCTGTCACCCCTCCTCCTGCCACACACATTCACTAGGCTCGCAGCGCATACATGGCCTTCGCTGCACCCTGGGGATGTCAGGTGCTTGCCTTCTGGAGTTCCGTACCCAGCAGAGGAGGAAGGAAGCAAGCCAGCCCATAGGTGACCATGACATTGGCAGGTGTCACCTGGCCACATTAGGTGACAGAGGGAGGACTCTGTAGGGACACTCCTAGGTTCAGAATTCAGCTCTGAGACGTGCTGTCTGTGTGATTCTGGGCAACCTGCTCAGCCTCTCTGTGCTTCCCGAGAGCTTTCTCTTGGCTAAGTTTCTTTAGCGATGGTGAGACCGGAGCCCCACCCCTCCCAGGACTTAGAGGAGTCACCACACCCCTAGTCCTTTGAACACTGCTGGACCACAGGAAGGGCTCAGTACATGTCGCTACTGTCGTCAGTATTATGGGAAGGTAAAGCATCAGGCGGTCTTCCCGGAGGTGGTGACCATTGAGGGAAGTCTAGAAGGATGGATGAGCAGAAGCCCAATAGTGGAAAAGGCGCATTAGATCAGATCAGAAGAAACACCTCAGGCACCTGTTAAATATGCAGATTCCCCAGGCCCGTCCCCTGGAGATCCAGATTCAACAGGTGAGCCTAGAAATTGATGTTTATTTTTGCAAGCTCTTTAGGTAAGTCCTATAACCAGGCAGTTTAGGAAACATCATACCGTGGCATTTTAGGTGCAAGAAATGTGTGCAAAGGCACAGAGGTGGGGAACAGAGTGAGTATTTAGGGGAAGGCAAGTAATGTGGTGTGACTAGAGCAGCGGTTCTCAACCTGTGGGTCGCGACCCTTTTGGGGGTCGAACGACCCTTTCACAGGGGTCGCCTAAGACCATCGGAAAACACATATATAATTACATATTGTTTTTGTGATTAATCACGATGCTTTAATTATGTTCAATTTGTAACAATGAAATTGGGGGTCACCACAACGTGAGGAACTGTATTAAAGGGTCGCGGCATTAGGAAGGTTGAGAACCTCTGGACTAGAGCATATTGCATGGAGGACATGGGGCAGGAGAGGCAAGGAGGGTGAGATAACAAAGGCCTGTGTGTCAGTGGCTTGGTTCTGAGAGCAATAGGGAGCCACTGTAGGCTCTTGAGCAGGAGAGTGACATGGGCAGATTCGCACTTAATGCAGCAGTTAGACAACAGTTAGACAAAGTAGTACTATTGGCTGGGATGGAATTAGGCGTCAGAAGGCAAATCTGCAGGTGAGAGAGGCAGCTCATGCCCAAGGCCTGACACTGGCCTGAACTAGCCATGTGACCTCTGACTTTCTGTATCTCAGTTTCCTCATTGCAAAAGCCAGGACAAAATAGAATGTTCCTGACAGAGTTGTGAGAATTAAGTAAGTTAACACGTGCCCTGTGGAAGGGCATTTGTGTATAGGATTCTCCCTATGAAAGGTTTTGTGTGTGTGTGTGTGCATGCGCACAATGCTGTTTTAATCCCCAAACATCTGGGAATTGACTCTGCACACCTGTGATCCTAAGAAAGGCAGTCTCCTCTGTCTGGCACTGAAGGCTCACGGGGACCCTGTGGGGACCAGCCCTCCTGTCTGGCCTCAATTCTTAACAGCCCTGTGTGCAGCCTATGTGTGGCCAGGCAGTGACTTCCAGGATGCGTGCCTCTGCCTTCTTATTTCCATGCTTTCCTCACACTGGTTCCTCCGCCCCAAACTTTAAATCTTTTTTTTTAAAGATATATTTTATTGATTTTTTTACAGAGAGGAAGGGAGAGGGATAGAGAGCTAGAAACATCGATGAGAGAGAAACATCGATCAGCTGCCTCCTGCACACTCCCTACTGGGGATGTGCCTGCAACCAAGGTACATGCCCTTAACCGGAATCGAACCTCAATCCTTGAGTCCGCAGGCTGATGCTCTATCCACTGAGCCAAACCAGATAGGGCCAAACTTTAAATCTTTAACGCCTACCCCACCCCACCCTTACCCCTTCTCTGGCTCTCATTCAGGCAAACCTAGCATGCTTTCTTTCCCCTTTCCCCTTCCTCCTTCAGTCTTCAGACTGGAGGGCTTTGAGAAGGAGGGACTGAGCCATTATAAAGGCCAGACACAGGCAGAACCTGGCAAAAGATAAACTAAAACTAAAACAGGTTTGGCGACCAGGCTGCGGTGGCTTTTCCATCCCAGCGGACACAGAGGCAGACACACTGCCCAGTCCCACATTCTGAGGTCCCAGGAGCTCTAGGACGGGGCCGCCCAGGACAAGGCTCCCTTTGCGTAGGGACGGTCCTGGCAGAAACACGAGACGCGGTAGCGGTTCTGCCAGGGCTGGGGCACTGTTTGAGATGAAACTCGAGGCTCCCAGTGCCCTACTTTTGACCAGGGGACAGCGAGGCCTTGTTTCCGAGTCTGTCTGGATTGGGGGTCAGGTGTCAGGGTCCTGGGTAAATACTTCCAGGTGTGTCCCAGGGGACTGTAAAATGAGAGATGATATTTCAGTGAGAATGATGGTCAAACATAAAACCTGAGTTTCTCCATTGCTCTCTCACTTCCCAGATTTTGACTCCAGGATATAAAGTTACTAGGAGCCTATGACCTGCCACAACACTTAAAAGACTTTTGCGAACTTGGACTAACCAGGAGATTTTCTTACTACTCTTTTATAGCAGGCTCTATGCAGGGGTCGGCACACTTATTCTGTAAAGGGTCAGATAATATTTTATGCTTTGCGGGCTATATACACTATTGCAACAGTTCAGCTCCTTCCAACTACACCCTTCGCAGTAAGAAAGCGTCCATTGAGGATATGAAAATGCATGGGTATGGCTGTGTGCCAATAAAACTTTATTGATAAAAATAGGCTATGGGCCATAGATTGCCTACCTCTGCACTAGACCAGCAATTCCCATCCTTAATGTACAACAGAATTACCTGGCTCCTTGGGCCACATACCCCTCCCTCCCAGATTGATAACTGGTCTGGGGTGCAGTCTGGACATTGGGACCAGGGACATCAAGATGTTCCCCCTCCCCCCATTTTACATGGATTTATTTCATTCTGTTCACACTGTACAATTGTTACACCACCCACGAGGTTGCAACTAACACAGCCAGTGTGTCCTGGCTCAACCTCTTGGGACAACTGACAACACTCAAGTACGCCTGCTGTCCTGGACCCAGTGCCCCTGCGGCCCTGGACCCAGCGCCCCTGCTGCGGTACCTTATGACGAAGCTGTGCGTGTCGATCTCCGGCCCGCAGCCGCTGTTGAGCAGGACCCCCGAGTTGCCCACGATGGCACAGGTCTGGAAGTGCTTGTTCTTCAGCGGCGAGGTCCTGGGCAGGAGCTCGTACAGGTTCTGGGACACATTCATCGTGCTGTCTCGGTCGAAGATGTAATGAATAATGTCTCCAGGCTTCAGGGTCCCCTTGAGGACGGAAATATCCTTCTCAGCATCCAAGAACTTTAAGATTTGTTTCCTGCCAAAACCAAACATGAGGATCAGTCTCCCCGGTGCCAGCTGCCCTTTGCCAACCCGGCTTCTCCTGCCCGGCATTGCCTTGCGGGGCTGATGGCGCCCGGCACCCAGGGAGCGCCGAGTTCAGATGCCCTCAGAGGTTCCGGGCAGGGACTGTCAGAAATGGCCCAAAGGCGATTATGGCGGTGGCCAACCCGGTTGCTATGGTTATGCCTACTTCCTGCGAGGCGTGCAAACTGCCCCAGGAAATGACTCCATTAGGACACAAGCGAGCTCATCACAGAAGGCCCTGGAAGGGAGGGTGCCCCACATTCTGGTTTCCCCAGGGCTGCTTGGTCTTAGCACTCCCAAGGAGACCCCTCAGCCTCGGGAAAGCCCAGACAGTGGTCAGCTACTCCCCTCCTTTGCAGGACTCAAAGCCGCCATCTGACAGCGAGTCCTGAACTGGGAACAGGCAGCCAGAATGACACACGTCCCTCATGCCTCCATGGAAGACATCTTCAGGCACAGGGCCCTCCCAGGGGGTGAATGCGAACGTGGCTACTGTGAGGTGTGTCCATCGCTCTCCTTTTGAGAGACTGAGTTCGTAAGCTGGTCTGTTTTGTGAAGTATGATTTCCCGGCCTCCTACCTGCTGTCTGGTCTGAGGTTTGTAACTAGTGATGCCTCTCTCGTCCCTCAGAGCGCGGTTGCTCTGTGTTGTTTCAAAACGAAAGTGATCAAAGGATAGCTGTCTAGGCTCTAGGCTGACTTTGATTTAGGGGGAAAGTTCTAGAATCACCTAGCATAGCCTGTAGCCACAGAAAGGATGGGTGTCCACTATGCATCACCGGGGAGTTTTACTCAAACCTTGCCGGCCTGGCCCCAGGAACCTGAGGTTTTACTTAAAGAACGTTCTAATTCACCCCAGATATCCTTAGAGATGACACAAGTCTTAGCGAGAAGGAAGTTTGGTACCCAGATCGGCTGAAACACGTTCCCTTTCCTGCAGTGAAACAGACGCAATGACGCCCTTTCAGATAGAACGTCTGCTTTTCCTCAGAGCCCCGGAAGGACAGCATCTTCTCACGCTTTGCAAATGAGAGGATTTGCAAGATGGTTGCCCCGTCACCCAGATGGCTGACTGCCCCCTGAGCCTGCGGGATGGGGATGTTCACAGCCTGTGGTGCATCCCGGCAGGTGCCCATTCCATCACCTGGGGACTATAGAGAACCCAGAGGTTCCACTGACACCTGAGGAACCCCGCCTCCGAGCGTGGCCAGGTCTCAGCAGGCTTCCTAAAGCTCCCCAGGCGACTGTAACCTGTATCTAGGTTTGGGCACCGCTGCTCTTCAGACTGTATACCAGTGGAACGCAGCCTGGCATGCCTGGCAAACTCCTAATCATCCTTCAAAACCCATCGCTCCTTTCCTGGCCAGCCCTCTTGGTTCTCTTACAAAATGAAGTACTCTCTCCTTGAATGATCTTTTTATCTCCACCTCGTTATAAGATGCAATACTGCCTACTGTGTGCATCACACCATCCTGTCCTGTCCTGTTCTGTCTTGTCTTTGCTTTGATCGTCTCCCCACTAACATGCCTGATTCATGGCAGCACTCGGGCCCCCGGTGCAATGCCTGGAAACGAACGGTTGGATTATACTGACCCATCGTTGCTGGGTCAGTGGCGGCCATATCAAAGGCAAGTAGCCAAAGTGCTGAAGCTGAAATTCCTAGGTTACAGGGGCCTATTCCCGCCACCCAGCAACTCAGAGCTCTGCCTTTGCAACCAGGTGTCATGCCAGCTCCTGGGCCACCTGATTGGATATGGCTTTTCATTTTCATGTTTTGGAGAAGGCAGCCTACCCAAGCTATAGGACTGTGTGTATCGGGGGGCAGGGGGGGAGCTCTTCAAAGACTCTCCAAGTGGGAGGCCCTGATGCCAGGCCGTCCCCAAGCAAGCAGTCCTTCCCTGGTCCTTTGGAGAAGCAACCTCTGGCCCCGCACCCCCCCACCCCCGCCTCCAGGCTCTCACAGCTGCCCCACTGCTGAGCGCCCACTCCATCCACCCAGGACCCCCGCTCCTGCCAGCCACGGGGCCGAGCGGCTGCACACACATGCGGGGCCGCTGGGCCGGCCTTGGGTTTTTATTTCCAATTGACCGCTTCCAGACGAAACCTGCCTCAGTGGAAGGTAAGCATTTTCCTTCTAAACCAACTTCTTTAGATGATGGAGAGTGGCAATTTGCCGGCTTGTGCCCAAGAAGGCCCAGCCCGGATCTCGTCCGAGAGGTAATTACCACTACCTGATCCTCAGAGACAGCGTCTGGTTGTGCCTCCACGCGGCTGAGGCCGGCTGGATGTTGTGTTTAATGCTCTCGTTGCTTCTGTCAACAACAGCTGGTGGTGAGGAGCCATTTATTACACCTTCAGCTCTGGAAGGGAGAAGGGAGAGAGGGATAAATATGATGTGTTAGCATGCCAACGACAAGTCCCATCGCTTTGTTTTTGCTGGGGCTTGACTGTAAACTTCTTCCGAAGAGCAAAATTGCAGTTATTACCTGAGGAGAGAAGAAAGTCTATTTATCTTCTAGAATGCACAAAATCCTCCCTGTGGTGTATCCGACATACAGGAAAGGGGGTGATAAACTCTCTCTCTCCCTCCACCCCCGCGTTTCTTCCCAATGAAACCTAGCAGTCACCGTCAGAATAAAACTTCTCCAAGTTACTTCAGCAAAACTCCACTAGCAGCTGCATTAGCAGCCGAGTATCCTGATGGTTTACAAACGTAATGAGGAGAAAACCACAGATCTGTAACACCCCTTCCTTTGTCACTGAGATGCCTTGTTCAGAGTTCTCGATGCTGTGTCTCTCTCTCCCACTAGACCAGCGGTTCTCAACCTGTGGGTCGAGACCCCTTTGGGGGTCGAACGACCTTTACCCAGGGGTTGCCTAAATACATCCTGCATATCAGATATTTACATTACGAATCATAACAGTAGCAAAATTACAGTTATGAAGTAGCAACAAAAAAAATTTTATGGTTGGGGGTCACCACAACATGAGGAACTGTATTAAAGGGTCGCGGCATTAGGAAGGTTGAGAACCACTGCACTAGACTGTAAGCCAGGGAATACCCCTCCTCATTTCTATATTCCCCAATGCGTGTGCTCAGTAACTAAGTGTTTGCTGGATGCACATTTGCCTTTTGTCCTGGGGGAGCCTGGATGGATGGCTCTGTACGCTGAGGGCAAATCACCATTCTGGGCGCACGCCATCTTTCCACCCAGTTCAGGAACCTCAGGCCCCGCCTCAGTTCAGAGGCTTGAAATCTATGCTAGTGGGTTTCTAAGAAACTAGGTTACAATTACATCCACAGGCAGGAGCCGGCCCGCCTCTGCCGGCCGCACGCAGACGCATGTGGGTCACCTCCCAAGCTCTGTGCTGGCGGCAGAGTCGCCCAGCGACGATGATGACTGGGTTTGGGAGGCCCAATTCTGGAGCTTTAAAGAACCTAAAACAAGCACCGATGTTGCTTGCGTTTACCATGGAGCAGCCAAGTTAAAAAAGGGTGTCTAAACCCAGTGCTCAATTTTGCTTTTTGCAGGGAGAGAAGACATTCATTGGGGGGGGTGCATATTATCTGTGCGCTTTCTCCCCAGACAGCTCCGTTCCTCAGCATTCCTGACTGGTATCGCTAGTCTTGGGTTCAAATAAATGCAACTTTAGCAGAGAACAAAAGAGTCAAGAGTTAGTGGCCAACGCCTAGCATCCAGGCTTCAGGGAAGCCTATGAGAGGAATGGGCCACAGGTGGGAGCAGTGACCCCCAGGGCCGCTGATTTAGCTTCCCTACCCCACGCCCCCAAGCTTCGCCGCAGCTCACATCAGTAGGCGTATGTGATAGAAACACTAAGAGGCCGGCTGATAGTCTCATTAGTAACCAGGGACGGGGCCTCTTGTGGTTTAATTTAGATTCAATCTTGGGTGATGCTTTGCAGAAAGGAGCATATTGGGTGCCCCGGGCTCTCTCAGGCATGAAGGATCGGCAGGGGTGTTGTGACAAGGATGCTTGCGGAGGAGACGTGCTCAGAAACCCGCGGAAAGGGCTTCCAGGCTTGTCTGTGATGAAGGTAGGGACCCAGGGGATAAAGGCAGGAAAAAGAAAGAGGTAAACGTTGGCATGGGCAGCGGTAAAATTCCATTTGTCTCTACTTCCTAGCGAAAACTTGGATGGGGTCCTGCCTAACCAGCCATGGTCTTACTGAACTTGAACCCTGGCTCTGTCGCTACCTCTCTGGGGTACTGGGGGAAGTCACTTTGAGTCCCTGGCTTCTGTCTTCTTATCTGTAAAATCAAGGGACAGATAAGATAACCCCAGGGACCGCCTCCGCTCACTGGTGTACATGCCCTGTGTCGCACAGACACGGCTGGATGAATGAATGGAGAGTCCTCTCCAGTGACTGTGACCTCCTGTCCTCAGCACCCCGTCCAGCCCAGTGACACTGGAGTCTATGTCAGGCTTACGTTTCTCTGTCTTCTGATGCCCTGAGTGCATCCACAGTGATAGGAATAAGTCTCAACTGAGTCCCTTTAACACATCAGGCCGGGATAGAACCTTCTATTTAGAGGTCCTCATTCTTGAAACACCCCTGGAAAAAGATGTGTTATTATTCTAACTGAATGAGGACACTGGGGCTCAGAGGCGTGAAATCACGTGTCCAAGGTCCCAGCTAACAGGCCCGGGACTGCATCTAGGTCTGCCTGGCTCCCAAGAGCCCCCACCCCCACCCCACGTGACCACAGAGCATGATGGGGGGGGGGGGGTCCTGCCCCAGGGGCAGGACCTTCTTTCTGAAGAAGAGGGCATCTTTCCACAGTGGGAGAGAGACACATAGTTTATCTACATTTCACCAGGCACAGCATAAGCGTCACCTGTAGCTCCCAGGTGGTTCAGAGGTCATGACGAGATCTAGAAGCAATGATGTCAGGGACACAGGACCGTGGCCTGAGTCAGTCCTCTAGGCTCAGGAATAGACATACTCGATAGATGTCATTATGGTCAAGAGACCTGAAAAAACTACGGAAGGGCAAATGACAGACCTTACTCTGAATACCTGGACCACTCCTTCCCAGACTGACCAAAACAGCATATTCAGAAAGTCAAACAAGGCCTTCATGTTGAGCACTGGCCTTCCCTTTCTCCTCCCATTGCCCCATCAGTTTGGGCTTATGAGACTCCGGTCAGAGCTGTGATGCAGCCGTCATTGATGGAGAATGGGGACTCGGAGGCATGGCCCAACCATAGCCAGAGGCAAGCCAGGGTCTGTTGGCTTGCCACGCATTTGCTCGCTGCCCTGCACCAAGCTGTCACCTGGCCAAGGCCTGTCATGGGAGGAAGCATGCTCAGAATGTAGAATGTGCATTCAATTATCATGGTTAGCATTTCTCAGTTGACTCCCTAATATTTTTAAGGGGCCTCAGCAAAAGTCTCTGAACGCTTTACTTTTCATCTTAACGTCCTGGACGCGAGATCGACAATGAAATTGAGTGAACGTCCTGATTCCCTTCAGAGTCTCCGTTGCTCAGCAAAAATGCAAGTTATGAATAAGCTCCTTGGTGGTCCACGTGCTTCCATGTGGGTGGACTCTTGTCCAGAAAGTGACTCTTAGCATCTGAGCATCCCATCTCTGCAGCCTCTAGACCTTGGGCCATTTCATGGACATTTTTATGGACACCCCCCCCCCCAACCCCCACACAAAGTGATTAGGAAAATGCAAAGCCAAAGTGAAAGAAAACAGATCTGTTTCCCAAGTAGGAAGGGCACCATCCAGCCAAGAGGAGAAGCAGATTAATAGCTGCCTTACAGCAAAAACAAATGAACACAAAATCTAATTTACAAACCTATTAGATTTGCTATGTAAGCTGTTCACAGCCGATCTGATTGCACCTCTGCCTCCAGAATTCCTGCAAGACAAAGGAAATGCATTATTTATAAACACAGCTCTTCTTGGCACAGCCCTCCTCAGTCTTCAGGAGATCCCGCAGCCAGCCTCGGAGACCCACAGAGGGTGGACGAGACCTCCCTCTGGCCTCTCCAAGAGGGGCAACATCCCGACCTGGCCACAAATCCAAACATCTCTCAGGGACGTAGGCCTCCCAGGTCCTCCCCTCCTCCCCCTGGAACATAGTTTAATCCGCACCACGGTTTCCACTTGAGGCTTCCACTTGGGCCCTGAGACAAAGTCCTTGGGGACTCATTTCCCCTGCGTCACCCCACAGGCCACCACTCCTTAGCACGTCTCAGCATCTGCTCCCTGAGTCTCTGGCTTTCGCGCCCACGTGTTAAGATGTTGTTATCACATTCTCTCCACACTCGAGACACCAGAAGTTTAACAGAGGCAGCAAGATGGCTCAGTAGTGCCTCCAACTGAATGTGGTAGCGGTTTATTTTTTGGTGGCAAGAGACATAATACTAAGTGGTGTCATTTTATGGGGAGCAGGAGGTGGGTGACTAACGGGGTCCTTTGCTCATTCCTCTGGAGGATCTGTTTTTGGAGTAAAAGCACCCCGAAGCCCTTTCCAGCCCAGCCATCCATTCAGTTCTGTTGGATTCCACTCCGGACCCGGGCTCTCAGGCCGTGAAGTCTCGCGATGCTTTGCTATCACGCGGGGCCAGGCGATGGGTGAACCCATCTGACCCTGGTACCTTGCCCACTCTGTGCCATGTGCACTGGTTTTAAAAAGTCGTATGTGAGGCTAATTACTTTACGTTAAATCGTTTTTTTTCTCTTACTGATTCTAGAATGTGTGGTTTGAGGACATATTTCCTTGTACTTTTCTCGTTGTTACTATTTTTTTTTTTTAAGTTCAATCTAGCCTTTCAGTCAAGGTGTTGGTGCACTCCAAAGAAACAATTGAAGTCACTGGGAAAGCTGCGTATTTTAAGGAATAATGTGATTTAATGAGAACACTCTGGGGAGGTTGATGCCTATCTCCACAGTGGTCTTAAGTTTGGATTTTTCTATCGGCTTTCTTTAGGCTTCACATACTTGTAGATATCATGTGTTGTGTGTGTGTGTGTGTAAACACATATACTGTCTTTTCCTGATAGACTTACATGTCTTTTAAAACTATTTGGCAACAGGCAATGTTCTCCCAGTTCACAGCCGGACAACAGAAAGGATGCTGTGACTCATGTCTCAAATTTGTCACTCCAAGTCTAGTTCTTAATTACACAGAGTGTCATTGGTTCTTCACACTTTAAGTCAATTCCTAGTATTTCTTTTTTGTCCCCCCCTGGTTCCCCTGGGGACAATGGAGCTCTTGACTTCTAACTTGGGGTCTGGGACTATCTGGCCAGTTCTGGCTCCATAATCATAAATCCACTCGTGTCAGACCCGGGGCTCCCTGGGCCAGAGGGGACTCATTGTGACCGTGAACATCAGAGCAGCTGTAGCTTTAAAGGCAGCGAGTGCTACTTCTAGCGGGGTGCTCGCACCAAAGTTAGATTTAGTCCCAGCGCCACCCCTGCCTCTCACCAATGTGTTCATCTCCTCTAGCTCCACCCACTCAACTAACTTCTTGATGATCAGGTCAGGCCTAGTATCTCTATCCCTGTGCTCAGCTGTCTCCGAGACACCTTTTCCTACAGAGCAAGTCTTATCAGTGTACCAAAGCTCTTGAACTTCATAGACATTGAAACAATGCTGGGCACAGAGCTCTGAAGAGACCAGTGTAGGTTGCAGCCTTGACAATGGTGTTTCCATGACAACCGGGCTTCCATGGATGCTTCCATAGGTGCCAACGGGGAGGGTGAGGTCAGCAGCTCATGGCCATCTCTCTTCTGCCACTGCGCACCCCTTATTGACTGCTCAGCTCCTTGCTCTGCCAGCCCCGCTTCCTTCCTGTTAAATATTAGCTTGATGTGATTTAGCCATTTGCTTTCATTTCAGCAAACTTGTGCTTATCAGTCAGCTTCCGTCATAGTACAAAAAGGTGCCGGTTCACTCTAGGGCAGTGATGGCGAACCTTTTGAGCTCGGCGTGTCAGCATTTTGAAAAACCCTAACTTCACTCTGGTGCCGTGTCACATAGAGAAATTTTTTGATCTTTGCAACCATAGTAAAACGAAGACTTATATTTTTGATATTTATTTTATATATTGAAATGCCATTTAACAAAGAAAAATCAACCAAAAAAAAATGAGTTTGCGTGTCACTTCTGACACGCGTGTCATAGGTTCGCCGTCACTGCCCTAGGTTCTCCCCTCCGCTCAACTTCAGAAAACACCCGTGAGAACTTAAGGCTTTGGTCAGGTTCCTGCCAACTGTGTTTGTCTTTCTATAAAAGTACTTATAGGCAACTGCACATCAAAATGCAAGAAAACGGGTCACTTGGGTGCCCAACATTCCCCGCCATGCTTATTCCTGATCCTTCCTCACCATGAAGCTGTCACCTGTAACCAGGGGGACACAATAATTTACCACCCAAACCAGAACGCCTTTGGAGTAAACGGAGGCACCTGGGTCTGACCACAGGGTGGCCCTGGACAGAGCTTCTCCTCGGGAGGAAATGTATCACGCAAGATTTGCAATTGAATTGAATTGCAAATCTTGCGTGAATTTTGGGACACCCTATACTAGGTTGAGGCGTGATGAACGACTCCAAGGGATGGATGGGTTAGACTCCTCAGGGCGTCTTTAATATTCCCCTGGCTCAGAAAAGCCATTATTTTATTTAAATATATTTTTTATTGATTTTTTTTTTTTTTTTTTTTTTTTTACAGAGAGGAAGGGAGAGAGATAGAGAGTTAGAAACATCGATGAGAGAGAAACATCGATCAACTGCCTCCTGCACATCTCCCACTGGGGATGTGCCTGCAACCAAGGTACATGCCCTTGACTGGAATCGAACCTGGGACCTTTCAGTCTACAGACCGACGCTCTATTCACTGAGCCAAACCGGTTTCGGCGAAAATCATCGCCTCTCAACACTTTATGGCTCCATTTGTAAGACATCGAGTCTCTCTCGGAGTCTTCCTGTCCCCCTGGAGGCGGGTGCCCCCAATGGGAAATCTCCATTTTTCTCTCTATCCACGCCCAACAAGATTCAGATTGCGGTCTGAGTGTAGCCAGGTCTCCTGCGCCTGCAGAAAGCGAGGCCCCGCACCCTGCCCTTCACCTGCTGCACGTAAGCACTGACCATACAGTCCAGGAGGCACCTGAGAATTAAGAGGGGGCAAAGTCACTCGACAAGTAGCTGTGAGACAGTTCATGAGCTAATTGGGAAACTATCCATGTGAGATCCACCACTCCAAGAAGGGAAAAAAGCGATCCAGCCATTAAAAGCTGTGCTTAGGAATGGTTTTATGTGGAAATGCGCTGAATTCTCCTGTTTTCGTTCATTTGGGCTGCTAGAACAAAGTGCCATAGCCTGGGTGGCTCATCAACACCAAAGATTTATTGCTCACAGTTCTGGAAGCCGGGAGCCTGAGTCAGAGAACCAGCATGTTAATTGAGGGTCCTCTCCCAAGCCGCAGACGTCCCCTTGATCCCTCACTTGGCAGCAGGAAGAGGGAGCTCCGTGGAGTCTAATCCCACCACAAGGGCTCCACCCTCGTGGCCTACTCACCTCCCAGCGGCCCCACCTCCTACCGCCACCACATTGGGGGGTTAGGTTTCTAACATGACGTTAGAGGGACATACGCATTCAAACCATAGCACCTCCATTGGCCAGTTACTTAGTATCTGCTTTTTAAAAATTGATTTCAGAGAGGAAGGGAGAGGGAGAGAGAAGCATCCATGATGAGAGAGAATCATGGATCGGCTGCCTCCTGCACGCCCCCTACTGGGGATCAAGCCTGCAACCTGGGCATGTGCTCCACTGGGAATTGAACCTGTGACCTCCTGGTTCATAGATAGATGCTCAACCAGAGATCAACACCAGCCTGGCTAGTATCCATTATTTAACCTTGGATGTAATTTAACCTTTTATTGTATTAGACATATACTACTGCAAAACCTTAGCCCTGAGCTTGGCAGCCTTGCCAACTTCTCGTTTCATTCACGTGGCACAACCCCTGGGCTCTGTAAAGAGAAGTAGTACGCCCCTCCATCACTCCCGCACGCCATGCTTAGCTCTTGAACCCGCCTCGCCAGGACTTGAAAGGCCTCTGCCTTCAGCCAGCCTCTCTCCCCTTCCTTTTGTTTGTTTCTTGAGGGACCGCGTTCAGACGCAGTGTCCCCATTAATGTCAGCTGTCGCCTTTTCCTGAGAAAACCTCCAGAGGGCACCCAGCAAGGGGAGGCCTTTGAAGTTGCTTCTCTTCTGTGTCTTTGATGTGTCCCCCTCCCCACCCTGCCGGGTCCTGGATAAATGTCCACTGCCCCTGCCCAGCGGTGGGAAGAGGACAGCTGGGGCCACCGGGGCGGGGCCTAGGGTCCTGGCTCCTGAGCGGTTCCAGCTGTGCCGCCCTAGACTTGACTCTCTAGGTCTTGATGTCCGTCCCTGGAAAGCAGGGTCCTGTTGCGGGGAGACAGGGAGACGCACCGGACACACGTGACTGTCAGTGCGGAGTCGTTAGTGAAGGCGATGGCTGCTGCCCTCGCTCTGGAGCAGAACAAGCCACTGCTGCCTATGGACTCTGCCCAGACCCCCGAATAGCTGTCCTCAGGGAAGTGGCATTTCAACAGGGCTGCCCACGAGGGAGCAACAAGGAGCAGTGGGTGGAAGAAAACAGAATGTGTTAACTGAGATAGAATTATGATTCCTGCCGCTCCATAGATTCATTTATTGAGCACCTATTATGTGCCAGGCCCTGAGCTGGGCTCTGGGAGGCGGGAGAGGGGGGACAAAGCGGGGATGGAGACAGATAGTCTCCCCTGTGAAGCTGCTTAAAAACTAAATGTGGAGGCAGGAAACCCTCACAAGAAAGACAAACATCCCAACAAAGGCAAGAGTCACGAGC